TCATTAGGATCAGAACAAACACTTTTATTAGCAAATAATTTCATAAGTTCATCCATCTTTCTACTCAAAACATTAATCTTTTCAATCGCTTGAACCTTTTTACTAGTGGATCTTTTGGTGTGCCATTGAGAATAATTAACCATAATATTATCTAGGAGATTAGTAGCCTCTCCTAAAGTGATCTCCATAAAAGTGCCTCCCGCGGCCGAATCTAAAAGATTTCTAGAACCAAATTCAATCCGGCATAATTTTTTTGTATAATCATCCACAAATTCAAACCATGTGTAGGGCAATTACGTATCATTAATTGCACCCTCTCCCAAGCTTGTGCAACATGCTCATGATCAAGTAGCTTAATATTCATAATATCGTTCCTAAGGGAGATGATCTTAGCGGGAGGAAAATACTTAGAGATAAAAACATCTTTGCACTTATTCCATGAATCAATACTATTTTTAGGCAAAGATGAGAACCAAGTTTTAGCACGATCTCTAAGCGAAACCGGAAATAGCTTCAATTTAACAATACCATTATCCACGTCTGTCTTATTTTGCATATCACACAAATCAACGAAATTGTTTAGATGGGATGCGACATCTTCACTAGGAAGGCCAGAAAATTGATCTTTCATAATGAGAATCAACAAAGAGGCATTAATTTCACAAGATTCAACATTGATAGTAGGAGCAATAGGAGTGCTAATAAAATCATTATTGTTAGTGTTGGAAAAATCACAAATTTAGTATTATCTTCAGTCGTCGTGACAAGAAGTCAATCTAACACACAAGCACACAAGAAGCAAGCGGAAAGAGACGAACTGAAGAGGGGTGAAGAAAAGACAAAGGTTTTTGAAAATCGTGTTAGAAGTGGGGGAGAGGAAAACGAGAGGCGAATGGCGAATAATTTAATGCAAGGGAGAAGAGTTTATGATGGGTACTTGGTATGGCTTGACTTGGTGTAGATCTCCCCGACAACGGAGCCAAAAATCCTTCTTCCTAACTCTTGAGCTTGCGTTGGTTTTCCCTTGAAGAGGAAAGGCGGATGCAGCAAAGTAGCGTAAGTATTTCCCTCAGTTTTGAGAACCAAGGTATCAATCCAGTAGGAGAAGACGCAGAAGTCACCGAATACCTGCACAAACAATCAAGAACTTGCAACCAACACGATAAAGGGGTTGTCAATCCCTTCATGGTCACTCACAAAAGTAAGATCTAATAGAGATAGATAAACGGTAAAGTAAATATTTTTGGTATTTTTGGGTATAAATATTGGAAAGTAAAGATTGCAAAATAATAGATCGGAAACTAGCAAGATGTAAACGAGATTCAATAATATGGAAAAGAGACCCGGGGGCCATATGTTTCACTAGTGGCTTCTCTCGAGATAGCATATATTACGGTGGGTGAACAAATTACTGCTGAGCAATTGATAGAAAAGCGCATAATTATGATGACATCTAAGGCAATGATCATGAATATAGACATTAGGTCCGTGTCAAGTAGACCGACTCCTGCCTGCATCTATTACTATTACTCCACACATCGACTGCTATCCAGCATGCATCTAGAGTATTAAGTTCATAAAGAACGGAGTAATGCATTAAGCAAGATGACATGATGTAGAGGAATTAACTCAAGCAATATGATGAAAACCCCATCTTGTTATCCTCGATGGCAACAATACAATACGTGCCTTGCTGCCCCTACTATCACTGGGAAAGGACACCACAAGATTAAACTCGAAGCTAAACACTTCTCCCATTGCAAGAAAGATCAATCTAGTAGGCCAAACTAAACCGATAATTCGAAGAGACTTGCAAAGATATCAAATCATGCATATAAGAATTCAGAGAAGAACCAAATAATATTCATAGATAATCTTGTTCATAAATCCACAATTCATCGGATGTCGGCAAACAGACCGCAAATGAATATTACATCGAATAGATCTCCAAGAACATTGAGAATCAAAGAGAGAGAAGAAGCCATCTAGCTAATAACTATGGGCCCGAAGGTCTGTGGTAAACTACTCACGCTTCATCGGAGAGGTAATGGTGTTGATATAGAAGCCCTCCGTGATCGAATCCCCCTCCGGCAGATCGCCGGAAAAGGCCCCAAGATGGGATCTCAGGGGTACAGAAGATTGCAGCGGTGGAAAAGTGGTTTCCTGGCTCCCCCTGATGTTTTCAGGGTATAAGAGTATATATAGATGAAGGAACTAGGTCAGGGGAGCTACGAGGGGCCCACGAGGGTGGGGGTGCGCCTACCCCCTGGGCGCGCCCTCCTGCCTCGTGGCTGCCTTATTACCTCTCCGACTTCATCTCCAAGTCTTCTAGTTTGCTTTCGGTCCAAGAAACTCTAAAATAGAAAGAAAAAAAACTGACACTGGGCCCTCAGTTAATAGGTTAGTCCCAAAAATAATATAAAAGAGCATATTAAAGCCCATTACACATCCAAAACATATAATATAATAGCATGGAACAATCAAAATTATAGATACGTTGGAGACGTATCACCCCTCTGTGGCTCCCTTCCCTCCCCTTAGTGAATGGGCCCCTTCCTTCGGGCTCAACCAGCCCCGCGTCATGGCAAGGGGCAGAAGCTCGGCTAGCCCCTCTCCGCAATTGACGCGGGCATCAGCTCGTCCACCTTGTTGCCGGACCAGTACAGACCTCACCAGCCTCGGGCTCCTTCAGAGCTGCCTTTCAGTGGACGTGCTACGTTCAGCGGCGGCGTCGACCACCTCTTAGCGATCTTGGATCTCTATCCCAATAACTTCTTCTTTAACCAACTCCTTCGAGGCCGCTTGCTGTCTTCAACTGGCAAACATATTTGAACCGGTGGGATTGTGTAACAAAAGATGGTGTGGGACTATCTTAGGGCATGTACATTGATGCTATCTTAGAAGTCCCACGTAGGATAAATGATGAGATGTAGAAGAGAGAACTCATAAGAAAAGGCTTGTCTTCTCTTATTTAAGAGAAGACAAGAGATGATCTCTTAACACAATATGTCTCACCATACTTCTAGGAATAACTAGTTATTAAAGATAAGGCTAAGAAAAGACCCATTATAGACATTCTTTTTTTTGTTATTTCTAAATTACATGTAAGACTTAAGATAAGACTATCTTATCAACCATTGTACATGCCCTTATTATTTTTAAGGGGTTTGGTTACGAAGCAGAGGATGGACGGACGGGGCTGATGCCCAGGTGGGCGTACGGATGGACGAAGAACACATTAACGTACAATGGATGAAAACAGATTATAGCGTACCTTTTTTTTGCGGGAAAGATTATAGCGTACCGACGAATGAAAATGACGGACGAAAATTAGGGAGGAAGAACCAATAGCCATTTTATTAAAAAGAATGTTCAACGTGTATCCGAAAATTAGGCATGTCTTGAATAAGAAAAAAAATGAATTAGAAATGGTAAAAGCCTATGTAACCAAAGAAAGGAACCAAGCAAAACAAGAAAAAAGAAACCTACTACAAATCGGAAGAAAACCGATGCCAAACAGTGAAAATCCGATAAAAACACAGAATAATTAGGCTCGGCACAGTAGTTGCACGCTACGAATCGCAGCCGGCTTGTCTTAAGAAGAAAAAACCCGAATCGCAGCCGGGGTGGAGAGGAGATAATTACACCTATAGCCCATGTACTCTTCGGCATGTAACACCATGGTCCTCGAACTCGCGGAGTGCTCCACTATGGTCGTCAAACATGAGAATACGCTCCAATACGGTCCTGGCTATGTCTCCTGCTAGTCCCTGCAATAGTGTACAAGTGTGGGCCCTGTATGTCAGATTGTGAGAGAGAAAATTGGTGAAAAAAAAACATTCACATGGGATTCGAACCTGAGACTATTCGTTGGAAAACAGCCAAGCTAACAATTGATCCAGTCCATCCCTGGTGTGAATCACTGATCTAAAGTACCTATAAGTCCATTTTTGTATCACGCCATTAGCAGTACATATATTAAGTCGGCCCAGAAGCGTACCATACCTTTTTTGAAATATCTTCAGGCGATTTTCCAGGTGCTTATTCCGTTTTCGTTTTACTTTAACAAGTTTATGTTAATTTTCCCTTTTTCGTATAAACAAATCCTCTTGTATCTATATTCTATTCTCATTATTTCATGCCTTGAAGAGGTAAACATGACTTATAAAATTATTTTGATTTAAAAAAAGTGTAGGAAAATTTATGTATCTTCATTCAGGACCACAAGCACGGGCATTTATTTTGAATCCTCATTGTATTTTTAAATACAAGATTATTTAAAAATTTGACAGTGCGTATTTTATAGTGTCCAGCGTGGTTTTAGAAAATATTTATATTTTTATCCAACCCTACGCCCAATTACAGATTTTCCTATTCTTCTAAACGAAATTGTTTTTTTAGATCTAACGCTAAATTGGTAAATAAAATACAAAGGAAACCGGTAGAATACGAAGAGAGGTACGTTACCATATATGTGATGCCAGGAACTTGTTTATTAGCTAGACATGATGTGTGGTCTAGTGTGAAGGTTAGCTTGGCTGTCAGGTATGCGTTTGGTGCCGGGTTTGAATTCCTCCTCAAAAAAATTGCACGTTCCTCCCTCTTTGATGTACTGACATGTGGGCCCCACACATGCATTGTATGCTGATGTGGTGCCGTGCTGGGCTGCGGGAGATGTAGCTAGGACTGTATTGGAGCGTATTCTCGTATTTGAGGACCGCAGTGGAGCATTTCACGAGTTTGAGGACCATCGTGTTACATGCCGGAGAGTACATGGATGGTAGGTGTAATTATAGTAGTATTTGCGTCCGTTGTAATCGTAGATGGAAACGGATAGGCGATTCCATATCCGAGTTGGTAGTTATGTGACCCACGCAACCCATCACCGGTGACGTGTTTATATACGCAGGCAGGCTTCGATTGCTAGACACAATACAAATCTTGGAGGAAGAAAATCGCGGACTGCGCCGATGACGAGTACTCACGAGGAGGAGGACGAGATGGTCGGAGCTACTCAGGAGGAGAAGGAGATCGAGGAACTCTGCTGTGAGCAACAGGTCGAGAACGAGGAGAAGAAGGAGGTGCTGTCTCATGAGGATGATGAGGAATCTGATGATGATGGTGATGGAGGCGAATCGAGCTCCATGATCTCCAAGCGCCAGATCAGGAAGCTCTGTGAGGAATTGCAAGCGACCTTGTCTTTGTTGAGGATAGACATTGAGCCAGCAGCCCCGCTAAGGGAAGACGACACCGGCGAGTGGCCGTTGCCGACAATCCACTCCATATTAGAGCAGTTCAAGGACCTGCGCCGCCGCACCTCCAGGCTGAGGGGGAAGCTGCTGCCTTTCATGGAAAGGTACGAGGAGGAGCAGGCTAAGCGGCACACGTACGAGGGTCTCGACGAGGAAGAGAAGGCGAGGAGGATGATGGAGCAGGAAGAGGAGTTCTTCGACAGCTACCGCCAAGGCACCGAGTTCTCATCCCGCCGCGTCACATTCGAGCAGCAGAGTAAGTCGACGCTGCTAAACACCATAAATATATAGGCAACTACGTACTCCATAGTAATTAATTAGAATGATTGTTCTCTGTTCTATAATACCTTTGCAACGTGGTAGTGGTATATGCAATCGACACTTCCACTGATTTTGTTTGTTTGTTTGTTTATTTGTTTGAGAAACACAGACACTCAACAGTTTAATTGGATTGATTTGGTTAACTGATTGTGCAGCTACATTGAGCCCCATGTACTTCACGCATTGGACGCCCGGACTGCCCCTACCCTACAATGCTGAGACGGAAGGGGTCAGCGTGCAGGTCTACTCTTTCAAGATCACCGAGATCATGTGCGATCTGCGGTGGCCGCTCCAAGTGTATGGCGTCGTCGCCGCACGAGACAGCTCGGACCGCAAGCGCAACATCATCTTTGATCGGCCGAGGCACAACTGCCAGAAGCTCACCTCAGATGTATGTGCCCACTCTACTCTGTTTTCAACCTTTTTGTTTCCTTGTTGTTGCGTGTGTCTTTGTTGATCGGTCGATCGGTTTAACGTTTGCGATTAAGGATGGGTAATGATGATGTTGTTTGTTGCTTTGCAGGATCCCTTTTTGCGCTTGACCGGCCCGTCTCGGGCGATTATGGCTCTGAGCCCCGTTGACTTTGAGGTCCAGCTGAAACTTAAGGGCGCGACGCCGTCAACAGACAGATCACTGATGAACATTAGAGAACATTACATAGGTAGTACTAGTGCTGACGGTTTAGATACTCTCACCTTTGAAAACTGCCTTTGCACAGCGGAGCTAAGAGTGGAGCAACTTTCTGGATCGGTCCAGGCCACTTTGGTGAGTGTCCGCGTCGTCGGTGGAGGTCCATGGCCTTTTGAACACGGAGGACGGATTGCTTGCTCCTCACCACCTCATGAAGTTGTGTGCGTGGATCCTAAAGGCATTGCACAAGTTGTTGATGATTCTTCATGCTTCCAAGTTGTGCTGCTCGATTCTCATGACTCTGTGTGTGGAAAAATGCCAGTTGGCAAATATGGTTACCTCGATCTGTCAAGACGGCTTGTTTCTGTCGAACTACGGAAAGAGAACTCCAGGCAATTCAAAGATAGCCTGAAAGTTTTCTTTCAAGCCTACTCAGAGTCTGGTGGTATTGCTGCACAAGCTCATGTCAAGATCAGGCCCAAGACTTGCAACATAAGTCAGCACACTTGTGATCTTGGTGGATCTAAGCTGGAGATTACTGTTGCTTGGTCAGCCATTGTTAGGACCGACCTATGTTAGTACAGTATATGTTTGATGGTGCTCTGGCCTGAATGTTATGGAGTACGATATCCTTTGCCCAGTCACATCTATCTATTTCTGTTTTGCGAGTGTTTTTTTTTTTTTGCTTCTTCAATTAAGTATTTGTGTATCGGTCTGCTATGTAAATGGCCAACTATTTGTGTATCAATTGACTATAAATTTTCAATTTAGGTTGTCTTTTTTGATTTTTACCACAGCTTCCAAGTTATGACATGAAGTATTTTGTGAACACATCCACCCTGCTCACACACAGCAAAACACACACATTATGTATGCATAACACAAACACTTCCATATGTAAATAAAATGTATCTTTGTATGAACAACCATGACGCAGAAAACCAATCTTCTCAACAGATCATCTAAATGATAACCAATCATTCAATCAACCTTCGCCTCACTGAACATGCAAATCTGACTGAAGTTTTATCGTGCAGCAGAACAATTCCTCTTCTGAAGCAGTGTTTGATCAGAGGGTTTCAAGGGGAGTGAGCCTGGCCGCCTTCCAGCAGCATCCTGTGGCTGCAGTACGAGCTCATCGTGCTCGAGAAGTATGTTAGCACGTTACTTTGTGTTGTACTCCTACATGTTTCGGTCTTTCTGTACCTGTACTCCTAGATTGTAGGATCTCTCTAGCGACGTCCAAGGCCTACGTGCCTGACTTCTCGGGTTGTTCGATCCCTCCTCTCAACTTCGGTCAAGGTACAAGTGCTACACGTTCTTTTCCTTCTACCACTTACATTTTGCTTGGAATGATGGATAGGCCAAGTTCTTCTACCAATCCACCACTCATCGAGAACGACGACGACATGTCATCATTCGTCACCAAGAGCCACCTATTTGGAGCTCAAAAAGCATTGCACCAAGAGCAACAAGCAATGAGGGACTACTTCGACAACAAATTCGACGCTCAAAAGCAAGAGAATGATGCAAGAATGAATGAGATCCGCGCCTTCATGAGGAACCGGCGTCCTTCCACTTCTTCATCCTCAAGACGGAGCCGCTCGAGTCGACACTCCGACGACACCTTCTCCGACTCAAGTACACCGTCATCAAACACTCTTCGACGAGCAGCACGTCAAGACCGTCATGTGTCTCGCAACCCACTACATGACAAGCATTCACATGAGCAAGTCGACGAGCATCTACCTCGTCCTCAATCAAACCAAGTCGCTTTTGCTCAAGCTCAAGAACGATAACGTCTACGTCGCCAAGAGGAAGAACGAGCGCGTCTACACCAAGAGGAACAAGATGCCGAGGCTCAACGTCTTCAACAACAACAACAACGAAAAGCACAAGCTCTTGAGGCGCAACATTCCCTTCAAGAATCAAGTCGAGCCATCGCCAACCGCAATCGCGAGCGGCGCAATCAAGAGGAAGCTCTTCGAGAAGAAATCCAAGAGAGGAACTACCAACCACGTGTGCAACGTCAAGCTCCACAAGCTCCTCCACAAGCTCGTCAGGCTCCACTTCAACCTCAAGTTCAACAAGAGCAAGTTGATCATGGACTTCCTCCGCGCCAAGAGCAACATGAGGATGACTATCCTCCACGTCAAGGACGTCATCATCACCATCGCCAACAACACAATGAAGAGCAACGCTATGGCAAGCTCAAGTTCACAATGCCCAAGTTCAATGGAAGCAATGATCCCGAAGAGTACCTCTCATGGGCATTGAAGGTCGACAAAATCTTTCGTTTGCACAACTATGAGGAAGAGAAGAAGATCGCTATGGCATCACTTGAGTTCCAAGACTATGTGCTCATATGGTGGGAACAAGTCCTTGAACACCGTCAAGCAAGAGGTGAACCACCAATCACCACTTGGGCACAAATGAAGGATGTCATGCGAGCACGCTTTGTGCCAACCTACTACAACCGCGATCTCTTCAAGAAGCTACAACTCCTCAAGCAAGGAACAAAGAGTGTTGAAGAATACTACAAGGAAATGGAGATTGCCACGATTCGAGCCAATGTCACGGAAGATGATGAGCAAACGATGGCAAGATTCTTGAATGGACTCAATCATCCCATCAAGAAGATCGCCGACTTCCAACCCTACTCCAACCTCACTGAGCTCGTGCATCAAGCTACAAAGGCGGAACGTCAAGTGCAAGATGACTTCAAGTATGCCAAGTACTCATCCAAGACCTACGGCTTCTCCAACATCCAAGCTTCAACGACTCCTCCAACATCTACATCATCTTGGTATCATGAGCCACGTTGATCACGTTTTTGGAGCCCATACCCCGTGTTTTCTAGCTTGATTTTGTTGTTTTCGTCCTAAATCCGAAAATCCCCATCAAAAATAGCCCAAAAAATTTTTGTGATTTGTTGGTGAGTTGAGATTTTGTTGGATTTGGTCCATGGATTTGTGTTGCTGTGTGTGGATCTAGCTTTCCCCACCCTCCCCACCCTTTTCCATCCATCGATTCGTCCGAATTTTTCCCGGGAGTTGCGATTTTTCCCGTGGAGTTCATCGTGTTCGTCCCCGATCCAGGAGCCCGGACATCCGCCGAGTCCACCGGACATCCGGCATACCGGACATCCGGCATCTGGCCCGGACATCCGGCCCCTGGCAGCAGAAACTCCACCCCCGCGCCTCCATCCACCATACCTTCGCCCAATTTTGCCCGGAGCCCACGTCTACTTCCGCATACCCACACCACTTTCCACAAACACCACCACCGATCACAGCTACCTCCTATGTCGATTTTGACACGTTTTGGTCTTTGAGAGTTTGGGTTGTGGTTTCCCATGTCCTATTGTGTTTCGGCTATATAGGTACGGTTCGACGTCAACATCAACACCGCTCATCTCCATCGACTAGTCATCATCGCCAAGGACGGTAACTTCGACGACATTTTTGTCATAACTTACAATTGCATTGATACCCCACGTGTCCCTACTTTTGCGTAGCTTACCCATCGAGACTAGCCGTTGAGTATTGCCGGCAACATGACTTGTGCACATTAGTGATCATACTCCATAGCACACATACCATACAATAGTGGTGCATATCTTGAGATCAACTTGTGTGTCACAAAGTTGTCATCGCATACACAATTGCTATCTTGGTTCGTGAAGTTTTGCATAAGAAAAGAGCTAAAAAGTGAAAGAGCCACCCAAGCTTTTAAGAAAAGAGGAAAGATAAGCAAAGAGCCACCCAACATATGTGTATCTGTTGTAACTATTCAGCTAATAAAGGAATCGATCTCTCCAACTTGGTATCAGACATCAGGCAACACCTTCCACGGCCGGGAACTCCACCTCCTACACCACCTCCCCGGCCACCAGCCAGGCCACCTCGCCGGGGGTCCTCTCCTCCTCGGCACTAGCGCCGGCACCACCGACGCCCACGGCGGCTCCTCTCCTCCTTTCATCTTTGGGACTACTCCCTCTCTCCACAGCGGCCTTTCCCCCCTCCCAGCTCTCAATTCTCCCCCTGTTCTCCTCCACGGTGACGCCGCCACCACCTCCAGCTCCCCGTGCCCGCAACCCTATTTTCAACGACAACATCTAGATCCACATCAAGTTCCTCCTCAACCCCGACGAACACAATTATCACAAGGGGAAGTCGTTCTTCCTGCTGGTCTTGATCCGCTACACTGCCACCCAATTCATCGAGCAGCCCCTCCCACCCAATGCCACTACCCAGCACCGCGAGCTGGACGCCCACCTCGTGCTATGGATCTATGCCACCCTCGCTGACAACCTCGTCGATCATGTCGTCGGGGCTACCACCACGTATGACCTCTGGAACCGCATCGGTGACTACTTTCTGGCAAACCGTGTGGCTTGGTACATGATGCTCAATCGGAAGTACAACAACCTCAAACATGGCGGGGCTCTCCGTCGCCGATTACGCCCGCCACATGAAGCTCCTCACCGCTGGGCTTGTCGACATCGACCATGCCGTCACCGAGGTGGACCTCACCACCCAATTCCTCCACGGTCTGGACAAACGGCTTGACACCATCCGCGTCATATTGGGGGACACTGTTCCTTTGCCGCCGTTTGAAACGGTGTTCTTCCGTGTCAAGCTTGCCGAGGAGAACCTCATTCAACGCGTGACAACGAGCCAGCCACCATCCTCGCCGTCACCGGAGCGGCACCCCCCCCCCCTCCCGCAGCTCCTTTGGCCACGACGGCCCCTACGGTGCTCGCTGGGGTGACCGCGTCGATCGCTCCAACGCCCACGACAATGATCGCGGCTCCGTCTATCGGCATGGTCGTGGATTTGGCAACTGCCAGGAAGGTGGTGACCACGACGATCGCGGACGTGGCGGCGGGAATGGCGACAAGAGCGGCCGCGGTGCCCCCTCCCCTGCAGTACAATCACTACATGGGGTTCTTTGCGCCCTATGGCAGGGCCATCCCCTCCCCTCAGCGCCCGGGGTGGGTGCAGCCAAACTCGGCTGGCGTCCTTGGGCCCCGTCGACACTGCATATCTGCTGCTCTAAGTCGATGACATCATCCTCACGGCGTCCACCCCCGATCTCCTTCACTGGCTGACTGCTCGTCTTCGTGATGAGTTCGCCCTCAAGGACTTGGGGCCCCTGCACTACTTTCTCGGCATCGAGGTGATCCTCCGGGCTGACGGCTTCTTTCTGTATCAGCAGAAGTGCGCCCATGAACTCCTTGAGCGTGCCGGTATGCTTAACTGCAAGCCGGCGCCCACCCCCGTCGACACGAAGGCGAAAGTCTCTACTCTTGAAGGGTCTCTCGCGTCCGATGGAGCGTTTTATCTCTCTATTGTCGGTGCTTTACAGTACTTGACGCTGACTCTCCCCGACCTGCAGTACGATGTTCAGCAGGTGTGCCTCCATATGCATGCCCCGCGTGACTCTCACTGGACTCTGGTGAAGCGTATTCTCCGTTACATACCGGCACCATGTCCTTGGGACTCACCCTGACGGCCTCCGCCTCCACCGACCTCGTGGCCTACTCGGATGCTGACTGGGCTGGCTGCCCCGACACG